GCTCAGATACTGCTGCTGGCACTAAGTTCAAAATCTGTACGATAGAGTCATACACCCACCCTTCAGACAATGCTAACCCGATCCCGAAAGCTTCACGGCCCAACGTAGCAACCAGCATAGGAGGCAGCCATCTTGTACACAGTAAAACACACTATTGACTTATGAGGGAGCTTTTGCACACAAACTGTGAGGGCGCACTAATACAAAATACATATATCCTACAGTAGGTACATTAACAGTCACTGCACATAATATTAAAAAAAAGCTGCTGCTCAAACTGCAAAAGCAACATTTTGAATTATGATAAATTCTATTTCAATTTGGTTGTGAACATACTGTGTCAGGCAGTATTTAAAATGACATGTTCTTCATATTACATCTGTAAAATCTCTGTTTCATGATGATTTATTCATCAACAATACTAACATTTTATATGTACATGTATTGATAATACTATTTTTTTTTTATTAGAATGTTGCTGACATAAAGAAGTTGAAGTTAGCAGGAATATGCACAATAAAGGCATGTAGATTTTTCAGTCAAAACAATGATAGTCCTTTCGTCTGTGATTTAACAGTGTTATAACTTGTTTTATTTGGATATTACTATCAAGAAGACAAATGCAATTAACAAACTCCACAATGTATGCAAAACATATACAAACTGTTCGTGGTATGCTTACCTACTCTGATAGTCATAGTGGTCACTGCCATGTCAGCTGATGATGAAGGACATCAAGGAGTGTGACTCAACGATATGCATGGTGACATGATCAATTTGTTCTGCTCTGTTGAGTAGATTGTAGTATAGATTTATGCGGAAATAAAAAAAAATGTAAATGTCAAAAAAGGTCAAAACTTTTTTTATATTGGTCATCATGCTTCTTTTAGTGACACTTTTTCACAAAAATAAAGTCTTTTAATTTGTGTTGTACAACTACAACTACAAATTCAAATTCTTATCTCGATAAATGATATATTATCAAATACATAGCCTAATCTATCTTCTTGTTGGATAGGGCATTCTCATGACAACTCGTAAACGACTATGTGCCATCAAGGGGATATCAGAAGCCAAAATGGAAAAGATTAAAGAAGCCTGTAATAAATTAATGGTGAGCTTGTTGTAAATTAGAATCATTTATTTCCACATGACATGATGGAATACTGGGAGATTACTGTTTATTAATGGACCACTATTTCTGATGGGATCAGATGTCTCAATCATTTATTGCAGAGAACAATTTATAGGAAAACGATCTGTTTTCATTTTTGAGAAGAGAACTAGCACATTTTCTAGGGAAAGAAATAAAATCTGTCCCCAAATCCCAGTCTAGCTATCTCTTAATATAAATAATGGTCTACCGTAATCCTTAACATGTTTTTCATCCTATCTTAATAGTTGAATTCAATTTTTTGGGTTAATTTTAAAATGCAAATTATGAAATCATTCTGTCCAGCAGTGTTCCTTCTAAGCCTTATTTTCGCTCAATTTTCTCAGATTCAATTGTAGTTTCTCAGTGAAATTTTGTCTTTTGAGAAACTTTCCATGCATTTTGTATGCAGAAAAAACATTTCAAGGGGAAAATGGGCAAATTTTCACAGTATTTTCAAGATTCAAAAAAATTAAAGGGAACAGTGCTGTCCAGAAACATAGTGTACTTGGTAAATGTTATCTACTTCTTTCCAGGGATCTAGTACAGCTTTCATACATTGTCTTTTACTTCAAATTATCAAGATTATTTATTAACAGCCTGTTGAACGGGACAAATAATCACATCCATTCTTTTGTTATCATGTGTGTGTAGGATCCTGGATTTTTGACAGCATTGGAATTCAGCGAGAGGCGTAAAAATGTATTTAAAGTAACAACAGGAAGCTCAGAACTAGAGTAAGTGACACTGATTGAGTGTTATGAAGGCCTCAGAAGCCCAGACTTGAATGCTTTGGTATCTTTAAAATAGTTTCCTTCACAATTTTATGTGTAATGCATTATTTTTGAAATTTGGCCATCAAAATTCGGTAGCAACTAAATTTATTCTGTAAATTATTTTTACAAAATTTACATAAGTTCATGTGTTTCTAATTATGTTAACCTGTAATATATAATAATATGGGGCTACTTTATTTTAGGAGTACTTTTCAAATTTGAATTCAGGCTACTGTGGGATAAGACTTTTCATGAACTCTATATTGTTTACATGGGATAGAAAGTGTTAATGCAACTTGAAGGTTTATATAATGCACTGAAATACACACAATGTACCACAATCATTTACCTGACAATAACAGCAACATTAGCATAAATCATATTTTATCATTTTATAGTAAGCTTCTTGGTGGAGGAATTGAAAGTATGGCTATAACGGAAGCATTTGGAGAGTTTCGTACTGGTAAAACTCAGATATCACATACCCTGTGTGTTACTACACAACTACCAGGAGCTAATGGCTACCCTGGAGGAAAAGTGGTATTTATTGATACAGAAAATACGTTGTATCCTTTATTATATAATACTTGACTGGAGTACCGGTATTGATTTTTCTAATTTATCTGCTACCGGTATATGCTTATTAGTCCTCATTAGATGAAGTCTGAATTATGCTTTGTGTTCACTGCATGCATGTGTCTGTGTATCTGTCCAATATGACTGGATCAATTTTGTACAAAGGCAAGTTTTTTGTTCTGTTGACCTTAGACCAACTGG